GTTCTCTAGAGAAACAGAACCATAGGATAGATAAAAACATGTAAGAGGAGGTTTATTATTGGAATTGACTCATAAATTATGTAGGCCAAGAAATCCCATAGTGTGCTAAAAGCTGGAGAACCAGGAAACCTAATGGTATAATTCAGTCTGGAGTCTGAAGGGCTGAGAGGCAGAGGAGCCAAAGATGTAACTCAGCCCAAAGCCAAAACCCTGAGAAGCTAAGGCCAATGATGTGAACCTTGTGGACTGCTTGAGAACCTAGATTTCTAATTTCTGAGGGTAGAAGATGAACATTCTGCCTCCAAAAGAGAGAGAACATATGCCTTTTTATTCTATTTAGGCCCTAGATGGACTGGATGGAGCTAATTCACATTGGTGATGGTGAATTTTCTTTAGAATTCAGGTTTTGCCAGTTATCTGAGTAATCTTTAACCCAGTTAAAACTGACCCACAAATTTTAACCATAGAGAAGGTAAGAAATTTTCTTAGCTTGTACTCTTTTGGAAATAGAGGCTAATGCAAGCATTGAAATATTGATATTTTTAGTTGAAAGTTCAAATAAGTGATAGCAAGCATAAGGAAAAGAAGTGAAGCAGAGGAAAATATGAAGGTGAATTGTTACTGCTCCACAGTGAATCATGTATTTTCATAGTAGGTGGATGGATCTGCACATCAAGTGGCATTAAACCAGACTTCTGTAAGAATAGTCTCTCAGAGCAGTGTGCGGAAAATAAATCCATGCCATTTATCCATGTCATTGTATGGATGTCAGGTGAGCTTCCTCATTTCTATCTTGTTTCCCACTGGTTAAATTTGCTATTGCCAGGACTAACCCCCTAGGGAGTTACCTTCTCTTACTTCTGAGCTATCCCCTTCAGCAGCTCCTTAGGATGCCAGATCTCATTCCCTGCTGGGTGGCACTTCATCTAAATGTGCAAGTGGAAGTAGAACCAGAATCTTCAGATAAGAATGCACTGATCAGCTTAGCTTCATGGTGATTACAAAAGGATATGCTTAGCACTCTGAATGCATTTGATCTGTGGCCTTAGAGGCAGAACTGGGCAGATTCACAATGAGTCTAAAGGTACAGGCAGATTCAAATATAAGCCCCATGATGACCCCTTTTGAGGGAAGAAATAACATTAAATTTAGGTGGTATAGAATAAGAAAATAATTGTAGGTGAGAAAACACAGCTATGTATCACAGACAGCAAGTAAGACAAAGATTGATCATTGTTTTCATTTTCTAAATTAATCTCAATGGAAAAGAACTGAATTAATCAGTATCACAGATATGAACAGTATCTTCACTACTCTATGCATAATCTTCTTTTAATTAAATTTGAAGTTTATTGGGATATAATTGGCATGTAATTAACTGCACATATTGAAGGTGTAGAATTTGCTAAATTTTCAATTATTTATGCACCCATAAATCCATCACAATTAATATAATTAATATACCCACTGAATTAGTTTTGAAGGGCTACTGTAAAAAAGTACTACAAACTGGGTATCTTTTTATTGTTAAGTTTATCGGTACAATTTAGATATACATAATGATCACATTCATTATATGTAATTTGTTCTTGTACATAGTATATGTTGATTCATATTTTTTCCCATTCCCTTACCCTCCCTTCTATCCTTCTTCCCCTTCTTGCTGGAGCTTTGTTTCCATTTTAACTTTCTCTTTTTTTTTTTCTTTTCCCTTCCCTCTCCTCTTGTGCCCCTTCCCATTTGAATATTTTCTTATTTCACAATATCTATTATACATTTTGGTCCTTATTTACACTTTCAGTTTTTCACACCAGAGAAACATTGTGATATTTGTGTGTCTGACTTATTTCACTTAAGAGTATGGTCTCTAGGTGTATTCGTTTATCTATAAATGTCTCAAGTTTATCCTTCTTTATGGCTGAATAGTACTCCATTGTATAAAAATCATATCTTCTTTATCCATTCATTGGTTGATGGGCATTTGGGTTGTTTGCAAGTTCGAGCTATTACAAACTGTGCTGCTATGAACATGGTGTCCATGTATCATTGTGGTATGATACTTTTAATACTTTCCAGAAGACACTTAGAAGGGGGGTAGTTGGGTCAAATGGAACCTCTCTACTCCTAGTTTTTTGAGGATTCTCCAAACTAATTTCTGCAGTGGCTGCACCAGTCTACACTAAACTTACTGAGAGAAATTAGGGAACACATGCCTTTCACAATAACATAAAAAAAAATACATAGGAATTAATTTAACAAAGTAAAAGATCTTTACATTGAAAATTACAGTACTGTGAAAAAGGAGATCGAAGAGGATAACAGAAAATGGAAAGATATACCTTGCTTGTGGGTAGGAAGAACCAACATGGTAAAAATGGCCATACTCCCAAAATTGTTACATAGATTTAATGCAATCCCAATCAAAATACCAATACCATACCTTACAGAATGAGAGAAAACATTCCCAAACTGGTATCTTATAACAGAACTTTATTGTCTATCAGTTCTGAAAACTAGAAGTCCAAAATAAGGTGTCAGAGCGTTGATGTCTTTTGAGGACTCTGTTCCATACCTCTGTTCTGGTTTCTGCTGAGGACCTACAAACTTGGCATTCCATGGCTTATAGATATATTACTCCAATCTCCAACTCTATCTTCACTTGGTATTTTCCTTGTCTTTGTGTCTTCACATGGTCTCTTTTTACAAGGATGCCAGTAATCTTGGAATAGGGCTCATACTAATGACCTGATCTTTACTTGATGAAGTTTGCAAGGACACTGTTTCCTATACATAATACCTACCATTCCTCCAAATGTCCTCAGGCTTCTTCTTATTCTAGACAAACTCCTATTGAACAATACATGTTTTCTAGAATTTTATAAAAATGGGGACATGACTATCCCTTATTATATGTGGATTGGTCTAAGAATCCTCCATCTTCAACCCCTACAGATACCTAAACTTGTGAACATACATGTCCCTTATACAAAATGACGTAGTATCTGTATAAATAACCTACACAATCCTCTTGCATACTTTAAATAGCATCTCTCAGTTAAATATATATAGTACCTTACCACTAAACTATACCAACCTTCTCCAATATTTTTAATTCAAGGTTGGATGAATCCACACATAGGGAATAAATATTGAGTACAACTGTACTTTTCTATGTGGGAATGTTTAGCTTCTTCACTTAGTATGATTATTTGAGATTTATTCCTGTTGCATAAATTAACTTTTTATTGGTGAAAAGTATTAAATTGCATTATATACCCCACAACTTGTATATTCACTTATTGAATTTGGATTGCTTCCAGTTTGGGGTTATTTCAAATAAAACTACCATGAACAACAGACTTCAAGTCTTTGTACTAGTATAAACATATTTTATTTTTCAACATCTACAAGTGGAATGTCTGGGTCAGATGGTAGGCATCTACCATATGTCGTAAGAAACAGCCATACTGTTTTCCAACAGTAGTCATACCATTTTGTATTCTTACCTACAATATATTAAAGTTTCAGTTTCTCTACATGGTGGCTAACACTTGAAATAGTCAATCTTCCACATTTTAGCCTAACAGGCATATAACTTGTGGCTCTAATATGCTTTTTCCTAACTAAAAATGTTGAATGTCTTTCATGTGCTTGTTATTTATCTTTTGCATTAAGTACTGTACCTATTAAAATTTCAGCGTATTTTTAACTGTCAATTTCTACACACACATACATACAAAAGTAGGCTAAGATCTTCTTTTTTGAGAGAGGTTCTCACTATATAGTTGAGACTGACCTGGAACTCACTATGTAGGCCAGCCTGGTCTCGAACTCACAGCGATCCTCCTGCCTGAGCCTCCCGAGTGTTGGAATTACAGGCGTGCACCACCATGCCGGGCAATATGCTAAGATCTGGATTGGGGGTTGTGTGGAATCTATATATCAATTTGGGGAATATGAAAGTTTTAGCAAAACCGAATCTTCTAATAAACATGGTAGCTGATTTAAAAATAGCTTCTTTTAATTTTTTTCACCAATATTTTGTAGTTTTCAGTGTGCAGGTCTTCCACATTTTTTGTAAAATTTAGTCCCAAATACTTCATAAGTTTGATATGAAAATTATATTGAAATTTTGAGTTTCAATTTTCAAATATTTATTGCTAATAGTTAGAATTTTTCCCGATATTGCTCTTGTATCTTGGAATCCTGCGAAGTTTACTTAGTTTTAGTAGCTTTTTTAAAACAATCCATCAGATTTTCTACATAGGTGATTACTAAATTGCGTATTACTAAATTTAGTTTATTCCTTTCTTTCTAATCTGGCTGCATTTTCTTTTTCTTGTCTTATTACACTAGTTATAAAATCTATCATCTTTGTTCCTAGCATTAATCTATCATGCCTATTTGTAGAGATTCAAAATGATTTAGCGATTCTTGCAAAGTCTAACAGTTCAGAAGCAGATAGTGCTCCAAAACCACAATTTTCAAGGCCTCAAACCCTCCTTTCAATACACATTTTTCTACTTCTCTTATCTTTTTATTTCTAGGATTTTCTGGAGTCCAGTTTCTAGTAGGCCTTCATGAACAAGTACAGTGAATGCTTTATGCTGAAGACATAATTATATTTAACTACAGTACCACCGCTCTCACCAATAAAAACTAAAACCACCTCCTCTCAGGAGTGAGAGGCAATTCCTGATGTGGTTTCAGGTTTGCACAAAGAACAGTTAGTCAAGATTATTCATTCACATTTTCTTTTGCCTATTGTCACTAATTTCACACTCTCTCCTTAGGTAAGAACTTCATTTTTTGAACATACTAGTCCTTGGAGTCCACTACACAGATTTCAGGAAGTAGGATAGAGGCTGCCTTCCTCGGCCCTCAAGATTTTCACATTTTGGGACTCCAGGCAGGAAAACCGAAGCCGCGGGTTTGGGGCTCATGGGAGAACACAGAAGCCCTAAGCTCCTTCCACCCCTTTTCATTTCGCCCATCCCTACCTAGTCCTCTCCGGTTTTGATGGAAAACGCTGAGTTCCCATATCGCCACCTAACAGCTGCCTCTTAGGTCAGCTGGCTCAGAAGACAACGCTGTGTGGAAGATCCGGGGGGAGAGAACAGTGCGGCGGAGACGCCTTGCGTACGCGCTGACGTCACGCCGACACCCGGGCGTCCCCGCCCACAGGCCGGCGGGTCCGGTTTCCGGTGTGAACGGTAACTGCCGGGCTCTGGAGTCGCCGTTTGAGATCCTGCGCCGCGCAGTCCTCTGTTCCGGTGTCCGTCCGCCACGATGCCTCATTTGGAAAGCATGGTGCTCTGTCGAGAGGCCCAGGTGTCCACCTTGCAGTCTCTGTTTGGAGAGGTATTGTGGTCAGACTTGTTTCCCCGAGACCTGTTCCTTTGGGAGGGCGGCGACGGATCGACTTCAGCATGGCGATCGGGGATATTGTAGCTCTGCCCCACACTCACCCACACTTTCTCATTAGTCCCTTTTAAAGCAGCCTGCGCTTAAAGAGTATAGGACATTGGCCAGGATGTTCTTTAACACACGCCCTTCTTTCGAGGTGTTAGCCCAGAGTAGCCCCCAGAAGTTACTCATTACTTTACCCCATCTGAACAGGGTTTTGTATAACAGGTGGGTTTTCAGAGTATTCAAGTCTAAATTCACACGTTTCAGTAAGGTAGTTGGTGGTAATCAAGCACGGAGAGGTGGTTTGTTTTCAAGGCCACCGAGGACTAAAGCAGTACGCCAGGTTTTAAATTCCAGCGGCTTTTCCAGAATTGCTAGAGCCCCAAAGAGGTCTTAGTCTAGGCTCCCTTCTGTCCTTGACTGGTAGTTTCAGAGAATGTTTTCTCTGGATGGACGCAGCTGAGGAGTCCTTTCCCCTAGGCATGAGGTGACATTCTCCAATTCAAAACTTTATCTATTTCTTATTATTTTCTGGTGTCCCTTTTGTATGAAGCAAATTAGAACTAGTTAGACTGGAGGGGAATAAAAAGAATTCAGATAACGTTATGTACATGTATCTACTTCCCACAGTGAATGTAATCATCATGTTCTACCAACGTGTACTAATAAGAAAGACAAAAAAGAAAATATAATTAGATGTGGTTCTCATCTGTGAGAAAGGAAAATAAAACTAAACATCTGCTGGTTTGCTTGTTTTCTGTGCTTTCATTCAGCTAAAAATGCTGACTCCTAAAAAAACAACAACAACAACAAAAAAAACTGGCTGTCTTGGGGTGGCCTATGAAGTATTAGTGGAAAAGCACCACCTCCATCTAAAGGGACACATTAAGAGGTCACCAATTGCATCCTCAGCCAGTTGTTTAGTTATACTGTTTTAAGCTACAGCTACCTATGTTACCACTGAAATAGTTTCTTGATTATATTCTATGAATTCCTTTCCTGAAATTGAGAAACTCATATCACTGGAAACCAAAAGTGGTCCTCCTGAGACTAAATACAGGATCATAGAAATCAGAAAATAGAAACAGAAAGGGTTTATATCTTTGCTTTTATTGCATATCATGCATTTGGGATGCATTCATTTGGGAAATTCAAAGAATAGCAAACTACAAAAAGCTAGTTTTTGTCTCTATAAAAATTCGTTTTTTTTTTCAAGAAGTAAATATTTACCAAGCATGTTTTCTGTGTCAGGCACTATGTTTTGACTTGTTACAGTTTTCATGGAGGTTTATAAAAGTGAAAAGTGAAGTAAGTGCAAGAGTTCATTATAATTCCAGATAACAATAGAACGATTTTATAAGTTGGGATATCAGTAGGCACCAAATAACGGATATAGACAAGTGTGGCAGGATTCCAAAAATAACAGATTTATTGAAGCTTGAAAAAAACTTGTGAAGTGTGGCCATGAACTTTTTTTTTTTTTTTTTTTTTTTTTTTTTTTGGTACGGGGCATCAAACTCGGGTCCTTGCGCTTGCGAGGCAGGGCACCGAACTGCAGAGCTAAATCCCCAGCCCGCCATGAACTTTTAATTAAAGGCAAAGTATAGTATTTGGATAGCCAGGATGCTCAGCAATATACAGTACATTTAATACTTGAAGTTGAATTTTTGAGCCAATTAATATATGATTGTTACATATGATCTTAAGGATTCATGTATTAAAATATAGACTTAGTAAATTTTGTCTCTTTAATAGCGGGTTGCTTTTGCTATACTGTATGCCACTTAGAAAGCTTTTCTGTGTGTACATCTGAGTTCCTGATTTGTCTTCTAATAAGTGTTTAATTTAGAGACTAGAATATAATAAATGTATGCAACTATTATTTTTGTGGTACGTAATGATCAGACTCAACTTTCTTGTGGAAGTTGCATCATTCAGTTTTCATTTAATTATTTTTAAAATGTCCATCTTCCCACTTTGAGCTCTTAAGTGCATTATATTTAATCTTCGGGAGGAATCTCACGCACACTGTCTGTAGAATGAATAAAACTTGTAGTATTGACTAGACCAATGGAGGGTCCTTTGACACTTTTTACTTTTTTCTGGTCTGATCATTTAAATTACTGCAAAAGGATCTTGTGAATGTGTATTTTTATTTATTTATGTTTTGCAGAGCTGGAGGTTGAATCCAGGTCCTCAGGCATGCTTGGCAAGTGCTCTACCACTGAGCTACACCCCCTAGTCTCATAGGTGTTTTTAGATATGTGCTATGCAAATTTTATTGATGTTTACTTTGATGAAATGTACACATTTGTGCCAAGGTCAATGAGTGTGCATAATTCAAAAGTATTTTATAGGTTTTCCTAAAAATGAGAACTCTTGAAATGTCTTGTAATCCCATTACCATATATGCTTAGTTTCAAACATTAAAATGAAATTAAAGTATTAAGGCAAAAATGAATTATAGATAAAATTATCCTTGAGAAGTCCCATAAATCTAGAAAGTTGAGAATGTCAGAGTTTGTATATGCAAGCCAGTACAATAAATGAATAACCATATAGCATATTTTATTATAATGCTGTATATGGTATATAATTATATTTTTATTCTTTGACAAAGGATTTAGTAACATAGTGCTTAGAATTGAATTTAAGTAAGTTTAAAATGTGATGATGCATCCACTGTATTACTGTGGGAATATTTTGGATTGAATACTTTACCTCATAAAACTTTATCGCAAGTTGAAAAGTGTGGTTTTTTTTGTTTGTGCAGACTGATATTTGCCTTTTTCCCCTAGAGACATCATTTCAGCTTTCCATCTATTTTTATTTATGGACATACTGCCAGTGGAAAGACCTATGTAACGCAAACATTGTTAAGAACTTTAGAGGTAAGAATAAAACCTAAAGTCAAGGTTAAATTAAATAGTCTGTACTCCTAGAAATGGAAGGTATCTGGGAGATTGTTTAATGCAGTTTAAACAATCCTCTGTCTGAAGGAATATCTTCTACATAAAATATTTCCAACCCAGTTTTGTTTGAATACCTTTAATGAGTGTCAACTTAAAAAACCGTTAAAAGTTATTATGCAACTCGAACCTTGCTTGACATTAGAAAGTTACTTTTTAAGTTGAGCCAGATTTTCTTTTTCCCTTTCATTGGTTGAATATTTGGTGAAAGACACATATAATAGTTTATTCTTTTAAAAATATGAAATTCCATTTCTTTAGTCTTTTTCATTTTCCATTTATATTGATACTGTTAATTCTGAATTTTCACAAATACAAAACTGAACATATCAACTTTACTCTGCAATGTCTTCCAGTGATACCATTTCTATGATCTCTTTGTTGATTTTGCAGTTGTGCAGAGTTAGCTCTTTTTTCCTCATCATCCAGTATAGCGAACCAATAAACACATTCTATTGATTGTATGCCCCAGTGTAATAATTCATCTATCTTTAATCATAGCAGTGATCCACTTCCTAGGGCAGAGGAGAGATTGAAGAACAATGGGCTTTACACTGTATACCAGAGCTCTTATTATGTATGTTTTTAAAAAAATATTTACACTTTTTTGGCTTTTGTTTTCAGCTCCCGCACGTCTTTGTGAATTGTGTTGAATGCTTTACTCTAAGGCTGCTTTTGGAACAAATTTTGAACAAGTTGAGTCATCTTAGTTCTTCAGAGGAGGGATGTTCTACTGAAATAACTTGTGAAACATTTAATGACTTTGTTCGCTTGTTTAAACAAGTAACCAAAGCTGAAAATCTCAAGAATCAGACTGTATATATTGTAAGTAATATAATTTGATAATATCATTTATTTGAAAACTAAATTGTGTATTAGGTCAATTTCCACATATTTTGCATCTCATTTTGCACAGTGCTCTGCAAGGTGTTTTTTAGATGCCAAAATGTGTTAGAGCCATTTCTTATCTAAAGGGAGCTTCAGTAGAAGAGTTATAACACCTATTTACACAGGACAGCATGCAGAAGGTCATAAGTGATAGCCAGGAGGTGCAAAGTACTGACTTAGCTACATGTGGTGCAGCTTCATGAGGTGATAGCATTTGAGATGGCCCTAAAAGAAGCCGGTAATGCAGGAAGAATCTGAAGAGTAATTTCAGATGTAGGGAGTGATGGCAACCAAAGGCATGAAGATGAGAGTGGAGTCCAGAGATTGCCAAATGGTTTTAGTTGGTTTTAAATTATAAAGGGAGGAAATGAAGATTAGAAAGGTAGACTTGGGCCAGGTCTTGAAAACTACCAAAGCAGTTTGTTTCTTTTCTTAGGCGGTGAAGGAGCTAGTGGAGATATTGGAGCAACTAGTATGCCTGAGGAAGATTACTGTGAAAAATGTGCTGATTAAAGGAATGGTTTTGAGGCTATAGGAAACTATAGGAGACTGTATATTTTGATGACTATAGGAGAAGAAATTTGGTCCTATATTAAAGTTGAGGCAGAAGCATCAAGAGACAGCAGAGGTCTGATTTGTCACTTGTTTATGGGATTGATTGTGGGAGAAAGTGAGCTGTTTGATTTTAGGTGGGCTAAGTTTGCATTGTAATTGTTAAATCAATGTGAAAATTACTAGCACAAAATTGAAACTATTTATAGTAGTGCCCCTTTTATGTGAGGAATCCATTCTAGGACCCCTGTGGGTGATCAAAACTGTGACCAGTGCCAGTCACTGTAGATAAATTTTTTCCTGTACATACATCCT